CTTACCGAAACAAATCATCAAAAATGCAAACTCAACTTATAAAGTTGAAAAATAACGCGATGAAAAAACCCGCGCGAAATCGGAGTTCAAACGATTCACTAATTTTCCCCCAGCGCTTTGGGGAAAAGTGGTTTCAACAGCTGGGCTGTGAAATAGGTTCGCGCAGCTTGGAAGCGTGTTGTCCGGTGAATACTCGGTGAAGGCTTTGGTGTGAGCTATATTTCTAACGTGTTGTTGATATTTCACAGGTGCGAGCATTTTATATGTTATGACAGTAGATTACCGATTTAACTGTTTATTTAATTTCATTTGTCTATTTCACCACACGTTCTTCTTACCGAGTCACTTTCTCAGTTTGATACTTAAAAGCAGTGTCATTATTTAGCAAAAATGTCTAACTGTTATATAGATATGTCGTTGTCAAAGACAAAACTCAATGTCTGTTTTATTGACACCTATGTGTCTGCCTGCCTGTCTGCTAGTGACAACTTGGATCACTGACCACATGCAAATTGAACTAACACCTATCAGGCTACACACCATAAGCAAAAAGCATTGATTTATGGCCCGAGTTCGGTCTCTGTCACATTATGTAATTACACAGACAGGCAGGTGATACTTGTTCATATGACATGTTATGATGTCTGTTGATTGTAAAATGTTATACACAAGAAAGGAGCATGTTTTTACAAAACCTAACATCTATATATATATACACACAATGAGCCATGAGGGCATCTGCAAATGAACCAGCCGTTACACTTGAGTGCACACCCACCCGCTCTGACTGGGTTCGGTATCCCGGCTGCTTCGTTTCTTGGGAAGTAAACCCAAGTACAAAATATTGCACTTTTGATTTGTGATTATACGCTTATACTTTTGTTTATATGTTTTTCGTAATCAGCAATGTATATTATATGTCATGAATACGTGATAATTGTGTTTTAATTATTTTTTATTTTTTGGTTGCATGTTACCTTTGAGGCGTAAGAGGATCACCAGACCATGTTAATTATCAAGACAATGGTACGGGTGGGTGGGGATTGTGGGGGAGGAGATGACCAAGAAAAACACAAGTGGATTGATTGCTTATTATTGGCTAATTAAATTACCTTTTTAAAGAATGGCGGACATCATGCAATTAGTTGCCATGTGTGCGATCTTGGATGACCAATGAGGTTATACACCAATGTGAAGAAAACTGAATCGATGTATCCCTTTTTCGCATATTAGACTGTTGACACTTGATATGGAACAGGATTCTTTGTCAGATGCAGATCAATGGCATATTGTTCCTTTATGTGGAGGTACTGTCCCATTTTTGACAGCGTCTTGGTCACTGATCATGATTCGCGAAGTTTCGCTCTCAAACCTGGTTAGTTTAATTAAGGGTAGTTATGTAAATGCAATCACCTGAGAGAAGTACAGAACAAATCACATCACAATCAACTGAGAGAAAAGGATGCGAGAAGCAGCATTATCCGTTGAGATGTATGAATGCAATACAATGTATTTAAAAAAGGTTACGTCATGAGCAGGATGGGAGAAGTAGCTTTACCAATTACTTGCTAAGTATATATGCCCACATATACATCACATTTTCTTATCGCATTTCATCATGGCTGAGAAATGTACAAAGTTAGATGGTAGGATACCAGGTTGAGAATTGTTGCTGGATGGATATAGGTATCTGAGACGAACTGCCAACAGGAATGGTACCATTATATGGAGATGTCAGTGCCTGAAAACAGCCTCAGTCACTACAACAGCAGATGGGACTGTTGTCAGAAGCGGGACAAACAGCATACACATCCAGACCAAAGCTCTATTGGTTCCTATATCCTTGCCAGTAATGTAAAAAACGGGTACGAGAAGAGCTGACAAGGGTACCAAAGTTCATTGTCAAAATTGGGATAACTGGCTAGATAAATTACAGAAGCGAGAAATTTCACTGTCAAATTTGAGGCTGTCAAAATCGGGACTAAACCTATGTGGATGTTGATGGATACATACCTCGAACAACGTAATAACCTGACATTGTTGCAGACTTTAGTCTGTTTTATTTCTAATATTTGCATTTTGTTTTTATTCATTTGTGGTAGCATTCAACAGAATCATTTGTTTTCGCCGTGTAGCGTAATGAGACAGACAGCATACACTAGGTCATACCTAGGGCGTGTGTGAAATATGATGGCATGTTGGCATTCTATAATATGTCTAGATATTACAGTCATGTTATAAATACGCTATAAGTATAAGCAGATCGTATGCTTTTTATTAAGTTTCAAAATGCATACAAATATGGCAATAAAATAATTAGGATTATAAGACCAAATATAAAGACATACATTGACTTCGTCATTTTTCAGTCCTGATGTTTTACCACTGGCAGATGATTAAACTTAAAACTGTTTTCATTTGTTATAATAAAAATGAAGATGAAAATATTACCGAGTAAAAAAGATACGATCAATTGCGCATGCGAGTGGCGCAGCAAAGGTGACGAACCCATTAAAAATACTGGGATATCATCCGGGTGCTCAAGGGAGAAAAACAATAACAAAAGCAACAACCAGTGCGCGGAAATTGCTCTGGATCAGTGCCCTTTTAAATGTGTTCATCATATGATTGTTTTAATCATGTTTTTACACCGTCGGCTTCCGTGTGCGATGTGTTCACTTCCATCAACCACCAGCTTGTAATAACATGTCACATGAGATTAGCAATGTGCTAAAATAACACCCAAACTTCAAAGCCTACCCCTTGTCAACGTCCTGAGCCTTATACAAATTGAAAGGTCGGCTTCCTGAGTTGACATCTCAAACTATTTTCATATAAGTGGTAATAATTCCTGAGCATTAGAGAACAGATTGGCTTGTTTGGAATTTAATGCTTTTCATAAACTAGAATCTCATAAACTATTTGTCTCTGGAATCATCTGTGATATGAACTTGTGTAGTGATTTCTCTAGAAATTATTTAACGTTATCTAAAATTAAACATTTAGTCACCTTTTATTGTATATGACCAAATTAATTAGTTACACTATGAAGATTTTAAGAAGGAATTCATTTGGGTTCTTTTTGCCTCAGTCCACCCGTGTGTGGACAATATAACCAATTATCTATTATCAAGTTCATGATATTTCGTGAATACACCAACTGCATAACACCGTCTCTGACCACAAACCCAAACGTGTTGTTCTCTATTCACCTACAGTCTTAAAACAACAGCCTTGACTGTTGATTTCGCAATGATAAACCACCCAAACGGTCCATCCCTTGTGACAGGTGTTAATTAGAGGGTACCATTAAAGAATGTATTCTACTACAATAAACCTATTATTCCCTGGCAAGGGTTCACTTTTATGACATGTAATAAACCCTGTCCAGTCAGTCAGTGGGTCCGGTAAACTTTTATTTAATCAATGATGTTACGTAGGTCTATGTAATTTGTGTTTATGCAAACCGTGACAGGTCAAAAACTATTTGCGCTTCTGTGGATAATACGTAAAACATACACTTAAAACGGCATTTTGGAAAATGCTAGCCATATCAGGGCAAATATGACAGTCAATATCAATTTTTAACACCTAGAACAACAAGGATGCAGACGAGTGAAGTTATACCAGGGATAATCTGCAATGTCTTATAGTCTCCCTGGTTATACTAATATATAGAACTGGTTCCTAGTTGATCGCATAGGAGGACGAATACACTCCTAGGAGGACGAATACACAGTCTATACACTCACGGGGATCCTTGGGAAAAGGAGAAATATCACATTTCCAAATTGGAAATTTTTGGAAATCACCATTTTTTTTCTTGTGTTGCTGACTTTGTTGACACATGTCGCTGTATCCCATTTATTGAAGCTCACCTAAATTACACCCTTAGGGATGGAGACAAGAAACATATACATAAGCCTATCAATAATGTAGTGTGTAGCATTCCTTGTTCCAGAAGAGATTGTTTCTAGGTAAATCCACTATCCATAGAATTAAGTTCAACTTTGTATCACCTTTATGATACATTTGAACAAATATTTAATCTCATTTCACGAGAACAAGAGGACGACACAGTGGACGATAAAAAATCCCAATGACAGACTTATGGGTGATAAAAATTAAAACAGGAAATCTATCAGAATAACAGGTTATTTCCACAAGAGTGAGTGTGTAAAAATTACTCAATATCTTCTGAATTTTGAAAAACGAAAATAACCTTGTCAGTTAATATAGACATCATCATATGTGAGACTTCTTTAACATCAGACAAAATCTCCTCAACAAACAACTGAAGCAAAATGCTGGTGTTTGTGTGATCCATTGCTGCAAGAAGATATCACTCATTACTCTTGTATTGGCTGCAGATGACACACGAATTATCCTCAAGGGATCTCTCTCACATATGCATCTGCACCGGCCGTTTCCAGGAGTTTGTCGTGACGTAACAACAAGTCAGGAATCTGAAATGTAATCTGTCCCAAATGTCACTCCCAAGACGTTTTTTGAATAGATATCAGCTATCCTGTGGCACTTCACAGTAGATCTCTCACCAAGTTAAATCTCCCTCTCTTTCTGCATTCCAGGCTAATCTTAAACAGCTTCAAGAATAGTACTTTTGACTTATCATATTTAATTTGGGCATTGATCAACCACACTGTGGACGGAATATTGCACCAACATATTATAATCTGTTTAGATGAGCATTTTTTAGTACAGTCAGGCTGGTTACGGCCACTAAGAGTTCAGTTATAAATAGATAAAATAGATAGTGCATACTTGATCATAACCAAATTCTTAATGCAGAAGTGTAACAAAGCAAAGAAAAACGAGAGAGACAGTAACCTGAACATGTCCAATAGTTGCAGTAATTGAAACATTAAAGATTGTGTTGTATTACAAAAACAACTTTCCAGAGGGCGTCAAGGATAATTTCAATACCTCATCCTCTCGATCAGATTTGTTTTCTCGAGTGTAAATGTTCTGTTTCAGACACTACTGTCCTTATACCACGGTTCACTATGAAACCCGGAGAGGACACTGTACAGCACGTTGTTTGTGGTGGAGGTGAGTTTAGCCGAATCCATTGAGTGAGTGAGTGAGTTTAGTCCAGCTATATGGCGGCGGTCTGAAAATAATCGAGATTTGACCAGACAATCCAGTGATCAACAGCATGAGCATCGATCTGCGCAACTGGGAACCGATGACATGTGTCAACCAAGTCAGCGAGCCTGACCACCCGATCCCCTTAGTCGCCACTTACAACACGCATGGGTTACTGAAGATCAATATTCTAACCCGGACCTTCACGGGTCCGAATCCATTGAATCAATTTTTGTTTTATTGTGAACTCCCATATTGTGATGGTGTAAATGCATCGAAATTAAGACTGTTTTGTGATTTCATGTTTGTGACCCTTGTACCTATGACAATTTACAGTTTGGTTGTTTAGTGTTTCTGAATGAAATTGTACACCCAAGATTACTTTTTAAAGAATAGGAACCTGATACAAATGTCATAGGATTAGTTTATAGCATTGATACAACTGTATCTGTTATGATACGTTTTGGTGTTACTTCCGTCCATGTATCCAGCAGAGAATTTTAAGAAATTTATAAAAGGTCTAGCCAGGTTGGCTTACCTCAAACATTCAGTGACTCAGAAACGTCGGTAGAAAACACTCCCGATGGTAGTTCTACAGTCTCGTAATTAAATTATTGACAAGGTGAAAACTATTTCTGTTTCAGGTGTTGTGCCTATGCATCTGTACCCGTACCCGTTTATACCCAGCATTATAAGTGCTGTGCCGGGTGGACCGACGACCGTGGAAACCAAAACTGCAACATACGTAATTACTGTTACAAATCTATCCCTTTTTACTTTTCTGTTGAACAAAAAGATCATAGATTAATACTACGGTTGTCTACTTCTCTGTTGTCGTTTCAGTACAATTGTAGACCATGTGGTAGGTTGTTATGATTTTGTTTAAAGAATAATTGACAATAATCTTCTAATTTTGTGCACGTTGTGTTCTTTCAGCAATCTGTTACAATCAGTGTGCTAACGGTGGGACCTGCACGTCTCCAGGAAGATGTACATGCAGGCCCGGATATACTGGAGCGACATGCACTGGATGTAAGTACATATTTCGTGGTGTTTCCTAAAAATTCATAGGAAGGCAAGTAGCCTAGGGTTATTTGTGCTCCTATTGTCAGGCACCCGTGAAGATCCGGGTTAGAATTAGTCTTAAGGAACCCATGCTTGACGTAAGAGGCGTCAGGAGGATCGAGTGGTCACTAACTTGGTTGACACGTGTCATCGTATCCCAATTGCGTCCTTCGAGGCTTAGGATGTTGATCACTGGATTGTCTGGTCTAGACTGGCTTATTTACAGACCACTGCAATATAGCTGGAATATTGCTGAGTGCTGCATTAAACAACTTACCAACCTATACCGCTATTAGCACTAGTCTTTGATGGAGCCACAAATATTGTCATTCCGTGGCACTCAGCTTGAGGAACAGTCATCAATGAATAACCGAACATTCAAACACATGGGCTACCAAATCTTACTGTTAATCACGGGTTGAGTTCATTTTGCGTTGTAGCGAGATGCGAGATTGTGAACGGGAAGGATGGTCGACTAGGATGTCACGTGTTCTATTGTGAACGGGAAGGATGGTCGACTAGGATGTCACATGTAGTAGTATACACAATGGTTGAACTGGATCAGGTCTTTCCCAAGGCCTTAATTCCAAATTAAGGCACTGGATAAGTCCCTAATCCAGTCCCACCATTGTGTATACTACTACTGAGGTGCAAGCAAAATTTGATGACAATCGGTCGAATAGTTTCTGAAATATTGACTTTTAAGTGAGCATGGGGTCAGTCGGGAAAAGGCAAAATGTCGTTTTGCTATAGCGTAACCATCTGCCGAGATGCATGCAAAATTTCACGAAAATCGGTCAAATAGTTTAGGAAATAATCACTTTTTAGTGAGCATGGGGTTGGTCTGGCGAAAGGCTAACAATCCAACGTTTTGTCGTACTTGTTATATATTATCGAGGCGAAGGGTGTTTTAAGCCAAATGAAACGCAGCTCTCGGCAGTTCTCCCGAGCTGCCTTGCTACCATCTCGTTAGGACGTACTTGTAGCGATGTGTGAGCTGTCTGAAGGTGAATGAAACCCAGGTCTCAGCAGTCATCACCTGGCTACCGTCTCGGGGGTTGCTCTGAGCGAGCGCCGTGGACGAGTATAAGTGTGTGTGTTCGAGTGTGCGTGTGTCTCGGCTCGGCTATGATGATGCACGGCCGGCTTACTAGCGAGGCTACAGATGTCTGAAGGTGAATGAAACGCATCTTTCGGCAGTTCCCCCGGGTCGCCAAGCTGCGTCTCGGTATTACCGAGCGAGCGCTTTGAGCCAGTCCCAGTGTGTGTGTCTCGGCTCGGCTTGGCTTGTACAGACAACTGCCTGGCTGGCTGGCAACGTTATGTTAATTTCCACTAAATCGCCTACCTCATCTCCCGGCAGTTGACCCAGGTCGCCAAGCTGCCGTCTCGGTCAGGCCTGTTGCTTCCCTTGTTCTATGAATTTTTTTCTCGTCTTCGCTGATGACGCCGTTTGTACGAGACTTGATTCGAATATCTTGTTTCATTGTGTGATATTTTGCGATTTCTGATAGCACCAAACGAAACTCTTCCTCAGAGATTTTAGAGTTGGTGAGCATGGTTGAAATATGATCGTCTATCGTGTTTAACTTCGCGGTGCTTTGCGATTTTACCGAGCCTGATGGATTTTTCCCCGGTCTTTAACGTTATTGTGCCATTCGTCTCAGTTTCATTGAGTTTGAGGCTGGCTCCGATGGGTTTGAAAATTTCGTTGTTCAGCATGCAAGTGCTGTAATAACTGTGGGACAAATTGTGGCGAATTCCATCGATGAATATCCTGTTGTTACCTATGGATTTACTGATATTCGACCATCGTGGGTATGCTGTTGACGAGTTCTCTGCACACGTTTTTCAAGGCTTCGTCTAGACCCCGAAGTTCCCTAAGAGGAAATTCGAAACCGGGCAAGGGTTTGTTCGAGTATGTGACCAATGTTTTTCGATTTCGTCCGACACTTCTTTGGCATGCTGGGGCATTTCTCATGGATCATTGGCGGCATCAGCATCACCGAGTTCGGTCCTTACATTTTGCAGCAGAAGTTGCTTCGGCGGAAGTTGTTTGGGTCGTGCGCCGCCGTAATCTCGCAGGTTTAGTTTGTTGCATATCAGTTTACTACCCCTATGGCAACTGGCTAGTGTACACAAGGCGAGTAGTTTTCTCGGGTGTTTTTTCATGAGATCGACCTCCGGATGAGCTTTTGATCGCAGTGTCCCTTCGTTGTCGATTTTGAACTTCGGATAGTCATGACCCAATGGTTTGACGCAATTTTTATCGCGCTTTAGGGCATCGTAATAATCGTCCATGACCTGCTATAGTGGTGTTCGTTACCCACGGTGTTGCCCATGAACGAGGTGCCCTTTGCTGCATCATCGTAGTCCATCTGAATATCGTCAGCCATTTTTTATAATAAACTTACAATATACATAGTTTCAATATAAACAATGTTGCAATACAGAGGAAAGCTAGATCCTTTCCGAAGATCGCGAGAGACGCTCGGTGTCAAAGCCGTGCTTCAGTCGGTGACCATCACCAACAATCCGCTGTTGGGTCATTTCCCCAATCTGGGCGCGAATGACGTCATCAAACCAGGAACGGCTCGACTGGCTTTTCACATCACGTTGGAGTCCACGAACGACAAACGCACAATCGTGCGCAACCTGGGTCACGCCATCTTCAAGAAAACCGCCATCAAAATTAGCGGGAACGAGGTGCTGATCATCGACGACAGCGACATGTTTTTCACCTACATGGACCTGTGGAGACCGAGAACGAATGCGATAACATGTTGTATCAAGGACTTTGTTGGGCTACCTGACCAAGCTCAATGGGATACGGAAAGGGACCAAAGCCACCGCCGAGGTGTACCTGAACCGATTTTGCATACCGCTCGACTTCGAGCTGCTCAAGGGACACATGCCATTTTACCAGGCCGCGCTGGGCATGTTTAACAACTCCGGCAAGTTTATCTTCATGCCGGATGGCAATGAGGCCAGCTACGTCGTCGACAACATCTCGCTGGAATTCGACATGGTCATGAGCCAGGAACTAGCTCGGGAGATTCACAACCAGTACTCAGGAAAGCTGTCAATCCTGTACGATCAAGTGCTGAGGCACCGGACGATCATCACTTACAAGGGCGACACCTTGTGGAACATCAACCTGAACGTGCCAGCTTGATCAATGAAAGGCATCTTGATCATTCCAGTGGCGGAATATGAACCGTTTCGAAGAGACAGCAAACTCACTTGGAATCCTGAGATCACGAAAGTGGTAGTGACCGTCAAGGGTGTGCCCAACCAGTTGTTCAGCAAAGACATGCGAGCTCACCAGCAGTGGGATGAGATAAGAAAACTACGGCCATCAAGTGACACTCGCCTGAAGTCAACGACGTTGTCAAAGAACTGGGTGTGCCCAACGTGACAATTGGTGATTACCTGGAAAAACATTACGCATTGTGGCGGGACATGCGATCCACGGAGGACGGCAGACTACACGGCAGCGGACTCCGCATTGACAATGGCAGCGAGTGGATCACAATCCAAATCACCAAGAAGGCGCAAAATCCGTCCCGTAAGTTAAATTTATATTTGTACGTGACTATGGATGCGCAACTCAATATAGACAATGGAAGATTCGTACAAGACGTTTATCGATTTACCTTGCGATCCCAACTGCGACATTGTGTGCGGTCAGACGGGGTGCAGTAAGACCGCATTCATGCTGGACATGCTGGAAGGTTACTATCATGATGTGTTCAACCACATCGTCATTCTCTGCCCCACTTTATGTGTGAACACGGAGAGACCGTGGGTGATGACGGACCCGGACGTGCACAAACTCGATCCGGGAATTCGTCTGCAGGACTGGTTGTGTGCTTACCACAACAAGCTGAAAGGAGAATCTATGTTGTTCATGCTGGACGACTGCAGCGCCATCAAGGAGATGGTTAAAAACGAGACATGCTGTCGAACCTGGCCTTTTCGCACACACGAAACAGAGCGTTTGGGCGTTTGGGTTTTGAAGCAGAAATTCAACTCGGTGCTGAAAAAATTATGGGAACAGACGCAATGGGTCGTCCTGTTTCACTTCAAGGACAGGGATTTCGTTCGAGGACTGCTTGCGAGAAAACAAAGTGATCCCGAGCAAACAAGAACCAGAACGAGTGAAGAAACAGCTCTCAAAAACGAAACACGCCTGTGAACAAGTCCTGTTGAAAACTGACAAACCCGTTGCGTATAAAGTCTGTTAGCTTAATAAAAAATCTAGCAAAATTCTAGCAAAATTCAAGCAAAGTCTCAAGCAAAATAATGTTCGAAACTATCGTTGTGTGCAATTTGACTTTCATCTCGCTGTGTTTCGCGTACATCGCATTTTATTTTATAAGACTTAAAAATCATTTGTTACATTATAAGATGGAGTACTCAAAAAAATTTTGGATGATGATAATAATAAAAACGACAAGCGAGAGAGACTGGTGGCGCTCGAGGTCGGTGGCAAAGCCAAACAATACTTCGGTGGGGGCGACCACACTCCCGATAAAAATTCACAAAATGCCAGCCAAAGAAATCGACAGCGGTACGCGAGATACGAAGCCAGACTCGGCGCCGAAAAGATTAAAACCATAGGGTCAGTCATAATGCAGGTCTACGCCAGCAAAGCATCGTACTTCCTTCCCATTCCACCGGGAACGTAGACTTAACCTGGGGGAAGATCTCGAGAAAGATCTGTTCATCGACCACGATTTCAGCACCGTCAGCTGCGTGCTGTACCACAGATAAGGCATGTTTTTGGCTCCGGCGATCATCACGGCAAAGCATTGTCAATTTAAAGTAGAAAAAAATAATAATGATAATAATATACAACATGGATGCACAACAGGAGGAGTAAACGCCAACAGATGGAAACAACGACAACGACACCAATATGACTAGTCACCACCAAGAATCCTAAAAATGTCGCCGCTGGTAGA